GCATCACGGGAATAAAACACACTTCCTGGTTCTCCGCCTTTCGCTGCTCTGATAAAAACTAAATTAATAAACAGAAATAAAAAAAAAGGGCAGAATAATGCGTTTTTAAATTCCGTTATATTTATGGTTAGTGATAACGGATTAAATTCACGTGCGTCTCAAGTTAATTAAAGGGCGCACGCGCGTTCCTCCGCCTGCTAATGATGCGATAAATATGTGATAAGACTATTTACCTTATGAAGGAGGCGCATTGAGTCACAAGCAGCGCCAGGATCACATAAAACATCTTCACTCCACTCATGTCTGCGCTTTTCGTGAGAAATAAACTTAGTTCCCACTTCAGAGCTGCTTTGGAAACAGAAGATCCGCAGACACAGCCCACTTTTCAAACTGACGCACAGAGCCGAAAAGCTGCTTCGGAAATGTCCGGAAAAATTCGGCACTTTACGTTATGCTGCTCGTCCATTGGATAAAAAATAATCAGCAGGATCCTCTGGTTGGTCAAAGAGCCTGACTGATAAATACATAAAAACACGGGTCACGAGTTGTCATGTGAATACGCTGGCACTCCCACATGAAGCATTATGATAAGTTTGGTCTATTATCTGGAAGGTAAACCTAAAAGAAGTGAGATATTTGTTCCTGAATGTGTAATGTCTCAGAAATATAATCCATTGCTAATACTTTTCCATTACTGTTTTTAAAGCTGTGGTCTCAAGCTCAAATCATTGAGGGCTGTTGACACATAAGTTTTAGATGTTCTGCTGAATCAAGTGGCTAAATCTTACATTGGAGTCAGGTTTATTAAAGCAGCGACCTGCAGGACACCGCATTCCTCGGCAGCTCTCATCCAATTTAAAGTATAGCATAATCTATAGCGGGGGTCTTCAACGTTTTCAAGGACAAGGACCTTGAAAAAAAAAAAAAAAATATATATATATATATATATATATATAGTCACTCTATTACAGATGAAGTAATGTAACGAAAGTAATTTCGGTCTGGGATTATTAAAGTATTTCTGATCCTGATTCCTGGTTGATGGGAGAGGTGTTGTGAATGAAACTGTGCCCAGCTTGAAAGAGCTACTCTACAGGTGCTGGTCATAAAATTAGAATATCATGAAAAAGTAGATTGATTTCAGTAATTCCATTTAAAAAGTGAAACTTGTATATTATATTCATACATTACATACAAACTCATATATTTCAGATGTTTATTTTGTTTAATTTTGATGATTACAAATGACAACAAATGAAAATCTCAAATTCATCATATCAGAAAATTAGAATATTACTGAAGACCAACTGAAAAGTATGAACATGAAAAGTATGAGCATGTACAGCACTCAGTATTTAGTTGGGCCTCCTTTGGCCTGTATTACTGCAGCAATGCGGCGTGGCATGGAGTCAATCAGTCTGTGGCACTGCTCAGGTGTTATGATAGCCCAGGTTGCTCTAATAGTGGCTTTTAGCTCTTCTGAATTGTTGGGTCTGGTGTATTGCATCTTCTTCTTCACAATACCCCATAGATTTTCTATGGGGTTAAGGTCAGGAGAGTTTGCTGGCCAATTAAGAACAGGGATACCATGGTCCTTCAACCAGGTACTGGTAGCTTTGGCACTGTGTGCAGGTGCCAAGTCCTGTTGGAAAATGAAATCTGCATCTCCAAAAAGTTGGTCAGCTGCAGGAAGCATGAAGTGCTCTAAAACTTCCTGGTATGTGGCTGCGTTGACCCTGGACCTCAGAAAACACAATGGACCAACACCAGCAGATGACATGGCACCCCAAACCATCACTGACTGTGGAAACTTTACACTGGACTTCAAGCAACGTGGATGAAGTGCCTCTCTTCTTTTCCTCCAGACTCTGGGACCTTGATTTCCAAAGGAAATGCAAAATTTACTTTCATCAGAGAACATGACTTTGGACCACTCACCAGCAGTCCAGTCCTGTTTCTCTTTAGCCCAGGCAAGACGCTTCTGACGCTGTCTGTGGTTCAAGAGTGGCTTGACACAAGGAATGCGACAGCAGAAACCCATGTCTTTCATACGTCTGTGTGTGGTGGTTCTTGAAGCACTCACTCCAGCTGCAGTCCACTCTTTGTGAATCTCCCCCACATTTTTGAATGGGTTTTGTTTCACAATCCTCTCCAGGGTGCGGTTATCTCTCTTGCTTGTACACTTTTTTCGACCACATCTTTTCCTTCCCTTCGCCTCTCTATTAATGTGCTTGGACACTGAGCTCTGTGAACAGCCAGCCTCTTTAGCGATGACCTTTTGTGTCTTGCCCTCCTTGTGCAAGGTGTCGATGGTCGTCTTTTGGACAACTGTCAAGTCAGCAGTCTTCCCCATGATTGTGTAGCCTATAGAACTAGACTGAAAGACCATTTAAAGGCTTTTGCAGGTGGTTTGAGTTAATTAGCTGATTAGAGTGTGGCACCAGGGGCCATCAATTTTGAACCTTTTCACAATATTCTAATTTTCTGATATGATGAATTTGAGATTTTCATTTGTTGTCATTTGTAATCATCAAAATTAAACAAAATAAACATCTGAAATATATGAGTTTGTATGTAATGTATGAATATAATATACAAGTTTCACTTTTTAAATGGAATTACTGAAATCAATCAACTTTTTCATGATATTCTAATTTTATGACCAGCACCTGTATGTCGCTGAATGTGTGCATTGATGACTGAAAGAAATCTTCTGCCTCCATTTATCTGTTTACTACAGTGTGTTGAATTCTTGTTAATGTGTATTTAAAGACATTTCAATTAGTGGAAAAATTGCAGGGGGGAATATAAAAAATAGTCTAATCAACCAAAACTTTCGTGACCGCCATGCAGTACCACCGATCTTTAGTAATGTTTAAAACACAATTTATTTCAGGACACTATAACAGGTAGTTATACTACAAATAGGAATTTTGGATTTTTTGGCCTTAGAAACAACACTGATGAAAATACGAAAAGCTTAGACTTAGAAAAAACTTTATTGTCATTTTGTATACACAGAGTGAAGAAGAAATCATAAAAAAAAAAGAAAAGTAGAAAATTAAGAAATAAACTATTTAAATGGAGTTCCAATGCATTGCACTTGACTGCATTTATAAAATATAGGAATGGTCTGACAAAATCTCCTAAAATGAATGCTGCAAGACAATAACCTCTCATAATCATAGTCATAAATATGGCAGTTTGACACTGTCTGCATTACATAGTTAAAAACCAATGAAGTTGTTGTTTGATGATGATGACTTTGATTCAAAGACTGGCCTCTGCACTCTAATACAGTAGAATGTCTGCTCTGCGTTTTAATCAATGAAGGTTTAACTTTGTAATATCATGACCGGATTATAATGATCATGATGATTTCAAAAAAAATATCAGAGATGTGTGGTCATGGATGAAGAAGATCCCAGGCTTCAAATAAAGGAGGATCATACTGATGGAGTCTGGATAGAGCCAATGAACTGAACACATACTTCAACAGGTTCAGTTCAGGGACAAGTTTAGCACCCTTCACTACTTCCTATGGTCAGACATCAAGCCAACCTTTGACCCAAAACTTCCCAATCACACCTAGAATGTTTCATCACCACCTCTGCCATCAACTCTCTTACTTCTGTGTTTGTTGTCAACCAAATCAGAATAGTGCTGCCCCCTCCCACTTCCACTTACCTGCCTTTAGAGGCAGAATGAGAAGAATGAAATAGAATCAGTCACCAGGTCCAGATGGTGTCAGTCACAGCATCTTGATTGCCCGTCCAGTGCCTCTGCAACCTTAGATTGACCCAGGAGACATTTCCTGCGATGTGGAAGACCTCCTGTTTTGCTCTGGTACCAAAGAAACTCGGCCAACACTCCTCAAAGACTATTGACCTGTTTACCTACATCCCACATAATGAAGCCCGTAGAGTAAGGTATCTTTAGTGTTTGCAGCAAGATGCTGCATATAATCAACAGGTCCTTTGTAAAGAGTGCGATCTCTTGTGACATCATCCGCTGCAGTAACAGCATCAGAGCAAATGACTTAAAGAAGCTCAACAAGCTACAGAAGAATACATGCTATGCTCAGGGAAATTCTCTAGAAGCTAAGGAGATTATTTTATAAAGAAATATTCCTCCGACAATCCTGACCATCCGTTTCAGAAAACACAATAATGTAATCTTCAGTTAGACACTTCTCCTAGTTTTCTGTAAGATGAACCGCAACAGGAGATTTATTCTGGCTAAAGCCATCAGCATTTACAATAACTGAAGAAACCTGTATGAGAGTTAAAAGAAAATAAAATTTCCCTTCGGTTTCAATAAACAATCTTTCAGTTATATTGAACATTTGACACCAAGTAATACAGAGAGAGACTTAAATCATATCTTAAGGCAACCTGCCAAGCAAAACTTTTTTTCTAAGAAAACTTCTTAATACACACGCACACACAAACAAAGATCTTAAATAGCCCAAAAATAGATTTCCATATGTGTTAGTAAATGCACTAGTATTGACAAAACAATGGTTAGAGTACATCCTGTTTGGAAAGTACCTTTTGAGCTTAATTGTTTACATATTTCCAAACTCTAAACAAAGAAAACAGTAAAAACTTTTATAGGTAAGGATTTATTACAAAACATTTTCAGCCATTCTTGGAAGAGCACCAGGCGGGCCTGTTGAGCCAGTTTAAGATAGGGGGAGAAAATGACGTTTGAACAAAAGGATGACACATAAAAAACAAAAGCAGGTACCATCATACAGACAGTAGATCAGAAACTGAACTGATTTTAGATTAGTGCAAAAGTTAACTCTAATGCTGGGAATAGAAGTTTGGTTTCAGGTATAGTTAGTTCAAAGAGAAAGCTCTTCCTTTGGAGGGGAGTTTCTTCTAAATTTGTAGATTTCTGTAGGATTGTTGATCTGTCTGACAAAAATAAGATCCTCCCACATATTTCTAATATCTTTCTATTTGTTTCCCGTAACCATTGACACATAAAACACTTGCTCAGTAATTTGTACAGACTTTTCTTCTGCTGTACAGACATGTGAATATACTGGAGGAATCAATTGTTTCTGCTGGATTTATGCTCACTGACCAAAGTAGGGCAGTGAAGGCTTTTCAACTGGGACAAAAATGGTAAGAGGATTCCACATCTGTCTTTATGCTCATTAGATTTAATTATTGTTCATGAAAATGAGAATCTGGAAAAAAGGCAGATTTTTTTTTTATTTCTAATATATTGTTTGACATTTAAATGCTTGTGCTAACCAAAGTTCTAAGGGATATACATTTCACAAAATACAATAATGGAGAAGAAGAACTGGATATCACACCTGAAATAATGCAAGGTACTCAGCAAGTTTAAAATGGTTAAAATATAGTCTATATTTAAACAAATTAGTTGCATGAAAATCAGTAGGAATCATACTGCTATCCAAAAATCTTTCCATCCTTGTCAGATAAAACAGGTATAATATACACTGAAGCTGATGAATAAGCAGAAGAAAAAAATGTTACAAAAACTGCTGTTTACGAAATGGTTGTAAACATAATTTGTTAAAAGTTAACAATGGGTAAACAATGAGCAAACTGTTGCCCGCAGTTATGTAAGTTTGCATATTTCCTCTAAGGTTTCCTGTTAAGGAGTATACAGCATGCTTCTCTAAGGGCACTCCCTCATTAATTACTGTAGTAACGCTTACTTATATCCTATTGTATTTCTTTACACAAAGTACAGCAAACAGTGCAGAAAACTGTAATTGCTCAGAAAAAGTTGGGTCAGAAGTTAACAATGGTAATGTATAGAGGAAAAATATGTTTTTGCACAGCAGGAAGTACCTCCTGGAACAAGAATAAGCAACACTGGATTCTAAAAAAGCTATGGAAATCTTAAAACCCCTCACTGAGGCGGGAGTTTTTAGTTTTTTTTATCCTTCACGAAATCTTCCAAAAGCTTTTTCTTAAAACCTGACACTAACTCCTTTTTTATCTACAATTCAAGTACCAATAAGTCTAAGGACATATTAAAAATAAAGGCCATTTGTGACATTCTGGCGTGTTTTTTTATTATTATTGTGTGATTACTGCTGGTAAATGTAAACAAATACAGTAAGGATACATTTTAACACTCTATCCTCTGACTTCTTTTACGGTAAATACAATTTTAGGTGCATAAAACAGCAACTTGAGCTAAATTGACTTATCCTGCAGCACATTCACTTTTCCTGCAAAGAAGTTTGATAGGTGAATTTAAACTCTCTTAAAGAAGACTATTTTGAAAACATTCATAAAAGGGTTGTTTGTCAGCAACTACATTTTGGATTTCAAAATAAAATAGATAAATATTATTTCAATGTTTTCCTGATGTCTGGGGTCTGCTTTTGACCACACCCCAGACATGAGGTGGTATTGATAAAATTTTAAGAATAGGATATGGATCAAAGTAAAAGCATCTATTTATTTCAGGCCTCAGGTGATAAAAACAGACCTGTAGTCCCACCTGCACTTCCATCTCGAACCTACCGAAACATCTCAGTGTCCAACATCCCTGGCTCACAGGTAAGACATAAACCTGCTACATTAGGACAGTTGGTGATCAAAGTGATGATTTATGTGGCCATCTAAGGTTATTAAGGATTTATTGTATTTACTCTTAAAAAAGCTTTAATAACAATGTATTAAAAAACATCAAAAAACAAAACCAACATCAAAAGCTAGTATGGATATCAGAAATTGTTCAAAAAAATAGTAGAAAATATTGGCCTGGATACAAAATCTAAGATATTTGCTGCTAATGGAAACTATTCCCTTATTCTTTAAGTTTATGTAACTTATTGGTTAATCATAAATGGTTCAGTTGTTCGCATAACTATTGCTTTTGACTACTGTTCTCTGTTTAAGTAATATTAAGCCCTTTCTAAGAAAAAACACCACAAACAATGAAATAAATATATGTATAATTTCTGCAGATCTTGTATTGGAACAATATAGGTAATTTATCAGAAGTTAGATTGTATTGGGATAACCTTACCTAAAAACAAGGCTGTGTAGCATGTGTTACCAAGGCAGCAATTTCAACTGAATGCAAATACTGACAAACACTGATGTTGCATTAATACACAACTTTGATCCACTATGAGTGAAGAAACAATACCGTTTTTTGTGTCAGTAGGTTACTAAAACTATGCCGATGACACACACAGTTGTACATTATGTCACCTGGTGATTATGAAACACTTCAAACACTGGGTAAATAAGTAGAATAACTCAAAGCAGGGATAAAATTGTGTGTTATTTTGGATCAGGACCTGTGCTTTAAATCCCATATCAAAGAGGTTTCTAGAATTTCCTTCTTTCATCTACAGAATATTACAAAAATTTAAAATATCCTGTCCAGGGGTGATGCTGTGAATCTAGTTCATGCATTTGTTACTTCAAAGCTGGAGTATTGTAATTCTTTACTAGCAGGAAATCCAGAAAATGTAGTTGAAAGCTCTCAGCTGAGCCGAAATCCTGCAGCCAGAGTTCTGATAAAAAATTTAAAAGAGAGATCATATCTCCCTCATTCTAGCTTCTCTTCATTGGCTTCCTGTTAAATCCAGAATAGAATTTAAAATCCTCCTTCTCACATATAAAGTCTCAAATGGCCAAGCTCCATCTTATATCAGAGATCTGATTGTTCCTTATGTTCCCAACAGAGCACTTCGCTCTCAATCTGCAAGTTTACTAGTGATTCCTAGAATTTCTAAAAGTAGAATGGGAGACAGATATTTTAGTTATCAGGCTCCCCTCCTGTGGAACCAACTACCAGCCTGTCTACTTTTAAGGGTAGGCTTAAAACTTTCCTTTTTGACAAAGCTTATGGTTAATAACAGAGTTATATTTGCTTAGTCTCTTGGTGAGAGAGGTAGGTGGAGGCAGAGTGTTAACAGCCTGTGGAATTTCAGTCTGGACAGGCGTTTCCTCTTGGCTCTACTTTGGCTCTATTGTGGCTCCACCTTTCTTATTCCTCCAAAATATTATGTTATCCTGAGCTATTTTCTGTATTTGTGCTGCTATGTGTTTGGGCTGCTGGATCACATAGGGACCACTTTTCATCTTTCTGCTGCATTTTATCTCTATCATCCCATTCTGCAGTATTTGTAGCTCAACCTCCAAAGTTATGCTTTATCTGCTTTTTGTCATCATAGTAGCTTCACCTCGTCTGATCCTGTTCTGCTCTGACTCCATCCTGGAGAGAAATGTCAGCTGTGCTGCTACCATGAGCACCTTTGTTTATAGATGTTGGAGCTTGGCCTGTTTTTCAATGTGGTCCTGTTTCTTTTACTGTGACTGTCAAAATTGGCCAGAGCTCATCTATCTGGCTTTGTGTTTCCTTGACGGGGCCACCTGTGGACCTGTGGAGTTATCGTTTGTATCTCTGCCTCTCTCTATAATACTGTGTAAGGTTTGTTGGATGTTGTTGACCCAAATGCAGAGTAGAGGAGGCAGATATAGTTCTTGCAGTTTTAATGGTGAAGTAGATGGTTAAAAAACATTAATCTACAAATAACATGCTGGGCACTCAGGAACCAAAAACTAGAGAAGCTCGGTAAAAACATGCAATAATAAACGAAGAGAATCCGGCACCAAGAAACTGCAGAGGAGGAGTACATATAGAAGATGGAACAAAGAGTGGAGTAATCAGTTAATTGGGAGCAGGTGTGGACAGAAACAGCTAGAAAGGAGCTAAGGGGAAAGGAAAGGTGCACTGGGGGAAACAAAGGCTACGTTCACACTGCAGGCCTTGATGCTCAATTTAGATTTTTTTTTTAGATCTGTTTGCTGTTCACCTTTCCAAATATATGCAACTTGTATGTGATCTCCTATGTGAACTGCATTCATACAACCTAAGTGTCCCACATGCCTAATAGATGCCATTATGACATCACAAGCAAGCATGCTCTATGTTTACGGAAGTAAACATCGATGGCTGTGCTGGAGAACATCTAGCGATCTTTCCCAACCTCATAAACTAAATCTTTCCAAGATGGTTAAACATAAATACTACTATCAGCATCATCGTCCACCGTTGTTGTTTTTCTTGCCACTTCTGCGTAGTAGATGAGTGACCACTGTCAGGTATTACTGACATTCAGGTTGGATGCAGTCTGAACTACGTTCACACTGCAGCCTGAAGTGACTCAAATCAGATGTTTTTCCCGACATGCGACCTGGATCTGATCTTTTCATGGCAGTCTGAACAACACAGATCCGATCTTTTCCAATGCGACCCAGGCAACTTGGCTATGTCGTCCTGAATCTGATACTAATCTGATCTTTTCAAATGCAACCTGTGTCTGAATGGCCAGGTCGCATTCATCCCACCTGAACGCCATTATTTATGTTTAACCATCTTGGTTAGATTGTATTTTATGGTAGTGAAAGATCGCTAGATGCACTCCAGCACTACCATCCATGTTTACTTCCGTTTACTTCCATGCAGGCCTGTGATGTCATTGCGTCCTCTACTGCGCAGGTGGGACACTTGCTTTGTATGAATGTAGTTCACAAAGGAGATCACATACAATTCGCATATATTTGTAAATGTGAGAGGCAACGCAAAAAAATCGGATTTCAGAGAACTTAAAGAAGGCTAAGGGGGAATAAAATTAATGAGCACATAAGGAATAACAAAGAGGAAAACTAGAGGATAAGAAAAGGAACTGGAGATAACTGAAGCCATGGAAAACATAACCTAAGGATAAGGGACAGAATAACTAAAAGACCAAGGAATAAAGAGTAGCAAAACTGCTAAGAAGAGATAACAAGGAAGGGTGATGCTAAGAATTCAAAAATGATATAAGTCTTGACAATACAGAATGACAAAAAATAAAACATAACTGAGAACCCAAAATGAAAACTTACACAGAACCAAAAAGTCCTCCTTGAACCCCAGTTGGCCTCGGCAGATGGGCTCTCACACAGAGCTGCTGCTAGAGGTTCCTTCCTGTTAAAAGGGAGTTTTTCTCTCCACTATCACTACATGCATGCTCTTTGAGAGGGATTGCTGAAGAGTCAACGACAAAATGCAAGCAAAGGTCGCCACCGCAAGCCCATCCAGGAGGAGCATGTATTGCAAGTCAATGATTGGATTCGGTCAAGTGGTTTTCTTAACCAATCTGACAATATTCACTCTTTAGACTTTGAAATGTCATGGGTTGCTAACTGGCGCTATATAAATAATTGAATAGATGTGCAAAAACTGGAAAAAATGTTATCATCATTTTTGGACCAACCGAAGAGCATTTAAAAGTCAGCCAAGACCTCTATTTAATGCAGCAAGAAACCACTAATCTTACTTCATATCTGGGTGAATTGAAGCACTGAGACCTGAACCTTAAGCGGCTCATAGAGACAGTAACAAAGTCGGCCTACATATCGTAAAAAAAATCTCCAGGATTAAAGGAATAATGTCTCAGCAGGATTTTGAAAAACTAATTCATGCATTCATTTTTATTACAATTGTTTACTGCAACAGCGTCTTACAGGTCTGCCTGAAAAGTCAATCAGGCAGCTGCAGCTGATCCAGAATTCTGAAATCCTCCCAGTTCAATGGCTCCCCATATCTCAAAGAAAACATTTTGAGCTTTAGCTCTGATAGTCTATGAATTATTTTCTTGTAAATTAAATATTTCATTTATATAACTTGCCTTGTCCTCTCTTGCCAGCCTTTGCTGGGACATGTGTAAATGTAATAATGGATAATCTGCCAAACATTCCCAAATTTGTTTGCCTAAAGCCTGCAGAGCTTGGAGATTAAAGTTGATTCAGTAAAAGACTTGCAGTATTGTTCAAAGATACATAAAGACTTGCAGGAACTAGACAATGAGCTGTAAGATAAAAATGTTTTCCTGGTATGTCAGAGCTAATCTACATTTCTCGTCACAAGTCTTTTGTAATCTGATAAATTTACTGTAAGGTAAAACTCATGAGTATCATGTGACAACATCAAACTCAGTTTTTGTGTTTTCTTTTGTTATTTTATTTTTTTTATCCAATAAAACCTGAAAAGAAAATCCAGACAAATTCATGTAAAAGCATCTCAGATGAAATCTCAGAGGCCATCTATGAAGACCCTGATGCATTATTGGTAATTGATTTTTTTCTTTAGTAAAATAGCACATTTTTTTGTTTACAATGAGAAGAAATAGTTACCTGAACATGTTTAGTATTATTATCATAACTTTTCATTTTTTTCAGAACTCTACCCCAGTTGTAAGTCATTTAGAGGCTAAACCCAAGCCTGTACCTCTGCCGAGGAGAAGAGATAAACAAAATCCACAAATCTACGATTCCAAAGACACAACCAAAGCAAACAGCAAAACCACCCCAGGAAACAACTATTATGCAACCAATCCAACCTACGTGACCAACACTGTCAAAGCTAACGCAGCTCAGACAACCAACGAAGCTAATACTACCAATACAAGTCCCATAATCTACAGTCGGGACGCAACATCTGAGACGAGCACTACTGTTAAAACTGGAACTGCCAGTACAACCAACACTAACCCAGTCACCTTGACCCGAAACATCAAGACACCAACTTTAACCAGTGTTGGAAAGGCCAACTCAACCTGCAATGACGACAGAACCAACCAGACCAACACTGTTAACCCTTCAGACAAAACAGCCTATACAGAGTTCTATGCAGTAAGTTGAGCACATTTAAATCTTCTTGATGTCTCTCACTTTTCCCAGCAGAAGCCATAATCAGGAACTACTAACTAATTTGTCCTTTTGGGAACAGAGTAATGAAAGTAGAGAGAACTCAAACTGTTACACAATACCTCAGCCTGTTCGCCAACCTCCACCTCCACCTGTTCTACCCAAAACCAAGGTCGTAAATTCAGCTACAATTGGCACTCCACTGAATGATGACATGGTAACAAAATCAGAGGAAAGTGTTGGGGTATGTGTTCTTGCAAGAATATGTTTATCCTTTAAAAGTGCAGGTATTTGGAAGGTTTGGAAATAGAATGACATCTGTTGTTAACACATAACATTTTATTTCGTGACCAGATTATTCAAAGTGGGAAGAACTGTTACATGACACCTCGCCCTGCTCACCGAGCTTCACCTATACCACCTGAGACTAAAAGCAAAGATGGATCAACAACTGGCAGACCACAGTATTATAACATGGGGACGAATTCGGATAAAAGTGTAAAGGTATTTTTTTTAGTAAATATATGTATGTTTTTTTCCCCCTTTCAGAAATGAGCTTTCATGGCTATTAAAATATTTTTTTCATTTTATAAACAGGCTGATAGTAGAGAAAACCCGGACTATATCAGGAAACCTGCTAAGCAACCTCTCCCTCTGCCTGTCCCATCTGAGACCAGGGGCGTAGATTCATCAGCAAATATCAGTTCACAGAATGATGACATGGAAACAAAGTCAAATAAAAGTGTGAAGGTATATTTTATGGCAAAAGCTTTGTTGGTTTTTTTTTTTTACTTGTATTTAGAAGGTTCTAAATTCAACTTTCATAGATGTTGAAATTCCATATTTTTTCATGAGCAGAGTAATCAAAGCAGGAAAAACTCAGACGACTACATGATTCCTCGCCCTGCTCACCATCCCCCCCTTCCACCTGTACCATCAGAAACCAAGGGCGTGAATTCAACAACAAATAACAGTCCACAGAATCCCGACAGGGGAATACTTTTGGATAAAAAATCAAAGGTATGTAGACTAGCTGGAAGATGTCCAGTCCATACTTCATATGTATTTGAAAGGTTTCTAGATTAGTTTACATATATTATTTAGTCCAAAAAAAGCTAAAAAAAAAAAAAAAAACAATCCACTGGACTTTGTTTCCAGGTTTGAAGATGTTTCGCTTTCCAACCAGGAAGCTTTCTCAATTCAAAATACTGCACAGCTCACTTTAGTGTGTTTCCCATATGCTCTCTTTGGCTATAAATACTTTACTTGAATCATAGAAAAGGATGCTGAAACTGGTTCAACCTCAGTGTTTTGTAACTATCTGTCTTTATTTTTATTTTGAAGAAACCACCTCCTCTTCCTCCCCCTCGTCCTTCTACAGAACGTAGGTTTCCTGTTTACTGTGACAGAGACAATCCTAATTTACAGGTAAGACAACAGGTGTATTTTTTACATTTTCTATTTTCCTTATCGTTTTGATTACATAATTTTTCTGGGCTGGGAGTATCTGCAGATATCTGATACCGATCAAATTAAACTGTTGAATGGAAGAACCATATATCGTGTCATCAGGGTAAAGGCTTTAGCTTATACTTTACACCATTGATTATAAAATAAGCACCAAAAGGAAAGAAATAACAGTTCCATGTAAAGTGTGCTGGATTGGCTCTCCGATCAAATCACAGATTTTCAATCCAGCTATAGAAGCTGATATGCTCCAGGTATCAGATCGTTGCATCTCTTCCTTAGAGGTAAGACTTTCAATGCTGAGCAGAAAGCTCTCTTCTAGACACATATAAAATAGCTATTTTTATGGAAAAGAACAATTTTTCTTTACAATGCAATTCACATTTGCAAGCATTTTTATCCTTGTTTATTCGTTTAGCCATTATGAAAATACTTATTTTGTTTGGTTGTTTTTTAGCCATTCCTAGTACCTAAGGTCAATATATCCCTTTAATGGATCCATCACATCATGTTTATTTACAGAATGCCTTTAATTACCGTAGTCAACCCCTATTATTAAAATGTCAGTTTTTGTGGTTTTCGTTCCAGAATGTTTGAATTACAAGACATTTGAAAAGGCTTTATATGCAGTTTAATTTTTTATTTGTTTGTTTTTAAAATAGAATAGAATAGAAAATCCCTTTATTGTCCCACAGTGGGGAAATTCTAGTGTTTACAGCAGCGAAAAGATTATAGAAAAAAATTGTCAAACAAACGTGGACCTTAGAAGGAATGTATAAGAATAACATAATAGTGAAGAGTTACAAGATAAACAATAAAATGATGTACTGTAAAGTGTTTTAACAGTATAAAACTGTGCATCTGGAGAATAAAATAACCAATATGCAGCTATGGACATTTTTACAGTAATGGATATTTGAAAATAGCAACAACATCAGAGATGTGCAAAATGACAGAAGCATGTTATTTAACTTTCTAAGGATGAAACTCTGCAAAATCAGAATGAATGTAACAACTTATTTAGGTTGTTGGGAACAGTGGTGGTTATAAAGTCTTACAGCTGCTTGGAAGAAGGATCTGTGATAACGCTCTTTGGTGCATTTAGGGTCCAGCAGTCTGTCACTGAAGGAGCTCTCTAGCTCTGAAACAGCTTCATGCATGGGGTGGGAGACATTATCCAGCAACGATGTTAATTTAGTGAGGATCCTTTTGTTTCCCACCTCCTGCCTTCCTGATGAGTTTATCCAGCAACTTTCTCTCAGCTACAGATAAGCCACTGCTTTACAAACCTAAAGAGAACTGTAGTCATTTACTCCACACTATAGCACTCCCACAACCATGCTTTCATGGTAGATAACTAATTTTTTTTAGCTCTTTTTAATTAAACATTAACACACTGAAGCACTCTCTTTATCCAAAGTATAGTTTGCTGTTTTAAGGTGGAATTATTTTAAAAGGCTTTTCTAAGAATTTATAAACCGCACTAGCTGTGTTGAACAGGAGTCTTCTATGATTTCATAAATAACTATTTGGTCCCATTTCATTAATCTAACACTGCATTTCTTCTATACTTTCACACAACTTATTAAAATACACATTCTTTTCATGTTGGTTAGAGTACATGAGATTACTAAAATTTTGATTATCCTTGTAATACCACCCACTCTCTTTTCTCAGTGTTTTGAATGCTGCCTGGTAGCTGCTTATTTTAAGCTTTATGCATTCATTTTTAGGTTTGAAATTCTTCCAGATGAGAGAATTTAAGAATGATGCAACCAAGTCTCCCTCAACACATCAATGGCATGCCAGCTAAATCTTCACTTATAGTCACACCTGACCAAAGAATGTTTAAAAACATTTTTGCTGTATCCCGTAATGGTCTATGGCAAACTGCCACTTCAAAATGCTCTAAAGGATTCAGACTTTCCTCTTGGCCTTTGTCCATAAAGACAAGATTCTTGGATAGCTGTCCCGTTGAAAGTCTGTTCCACATGCTATGCAAACTCTGCATCGCTTTCATAAGTACTAGTTTTGTACTACTACATGGTTTCTAAAACAATGACATTGCTGCTTTAGAGTAAAATCAAATTTAACCTGCTACTGATCACCTGAGTTTCACCATTTGTATGAAAGTGTGGATGCGGATGTATCAACATTACTGAGAAAAGGATATTTATAATTTCAACCTCAAATGCTGAATTCTATGCTGGCAATAAAGGCATTTATTCTGTTGTTTTACAGAGCAGAAATACATCACCTTTAACTAACCCCAAAGAGGAACATTATTTCAGCTCAGCATCATCTCATTACACCTATGCGAACCCTCCATACATTGAAGTTCTACCCGATCATGACTTTAACCGGGTAAAAAGCTGTTTTTCCTGGAATCGTAAAAGCATGGGTCATTAGAATCAGACAAATATGTACCGTATTTAATTGCTTATCTATTAATCATTTATTTCTTTGTGTTTAACACTTTCAGTCACAAGCATCAACACTTCTTTATGACGAAGGAAATCACAGCACCTATGACAACATATATCAACTATCTCCAGATGTAAGTTTAATTTAATTAATTTTCATATTAAGCTGCATTTGAACTGAAAACACACCTTTATCTTCTACACCTGTCAATTAATTTGATTAATGATCCTTTTTTCCTGAAGGACATCCCTGAGCTACTATTCTGGTTGAAAAAAGTATCTAGTAAGTACATTGTTATTGTAAATTGTTTCGTATTCCTGCAGTAAATAGTGTCATAGTGTTTTGTTCGCATAACGGATTTTAAACTATATTCACTTTTCTGTTTGTCATTAAGATGCTACATAAGATGGTATCTAATATCAACCAATCAGTCTTACAGGTTATTAGAATTAACTTGTGTTGTTACCCTGTTTCCTGCTCTGCATTTAGAACTGAGGGATTCCCTTTAAAAAGTTAGCATGTCACTCTGTCCTGCCTAAATTAAACAAAGGCAAGGCATAATAATAAAAAAACACGAACACAGTTAAGCATACAATTTAACCACAGTGAAAAAAAAAGACTATCGCAGCTTGATCTGACATGGTGATCAGTTCAAAACCAATTTGACAATTTTTTAAGAGGATTTGCTGTGTTTTCTTAATTAATTAATTTATTTATAGCTTATGCTATAGAAAAAGCTAATTAGCCAATAAAAGGTTGCCTAGGGGTAACAACAATCATCAGTGAGATTATTGTAATTAAAAAAAAAAACATATGCCCTGTAGACAAGCAAGGATACAATCATGTTTGAAAAATAACACACCCTACAACAGCCTATGTATGACATATTTGGATATGTTCATATCTAAAAGACATATTGACAACATTAGGGCATTTAAACAAAAACACAAGACAAAGGAAAGGGAATTTCCTTCCTACAAACTCAGGTTTGTCAATCAAAGCAACCTTATCCTGAAAGCAGATGGCAAGGTGTTAAAAGAAGCCTCCAAAAACTCTATCGTGCTATCATTGTGCTATCTTCACACAGCTCTCACCACTGCTTGTGTGCAAGTGCTTGTCTGTAGAATCAAATTCCATTGGGTGGTGTGGAGGGAGAAAAACAACTGGAAACATCCAGACATATGCAGAGAGAATGTAAAGAAAGATCCTTATTTTGGGGCTAATGTTATCTGAACAGACTCCTATAAATCATTTTGGATGCCAGACTTAAGGATGTATATGGCATAAAGCAAATGCAGAAATAAAGAACCTCAGTAAAGGAAGGGGATGAAAGTATCATAATCTAGGGATTGTTAATCCCACCAGGACCTGTTCAATTCACCATAATAGAATAGGCTGTATGTCTGCCCTGTATCAGATAGTGCTCGACAGAAATGCTTGTCAGAAATGAGCCTAGAGAAATTCTGTGTAAAGTGAATGTAATGCTCTAAACCAGGGATGTCAAACTGGTTCCAGAAAGGGCCGTGTGGCTGCAGGTTTTCTTTCCAAGTTTTACACCCCTGCTCTAAACCATACGTGCAATGATCAACAAACACTCAGATGACACTCTCACAAAAACACTGTCCCACTTCACTCCATTAAACCAAGTAAATAAATAAAAGTCACAAAGCATTGTAAGCACATTGCAGAATTGTTTCCCAAAATGCAGAGGGAATTTTTGATGCATGTAACCTGAGACATATTTTTGTTTGGGGAATAAAATGTGTAATTGATCAAAATATGTACACAATGCATCATTTTAAGTGCTTAAGCATGTTTTAGCTAATCAGTATAAAATGTGTTCCTTCCAGGACAATCAGATAACCTTACACAGTATGGCCTCAGTGAGGACGAAGAAATCAGGTAACGCAATTAAACTAGAAACTGAACCTTTTTTTATCAACTTCCTTTACTGTCTAATTAGCAATGCAAAGTTTTCCTTTGTTCAGTTCTTAACCTGCGTTCTTTTACTCTGCAGGTCATTCAATAGGCAGGCAAATCATGTGAGGAAGGCCCGGCGCCTCTACCAACTACTCATGATGAAACGTAAGGAAACCTTGCAGAACACCCTCAAAGAGTTTCAGGCCATCTGTGACAAACTAGACAAAGTACAGAAGACCAACAAAGCTATGGGAATTGCTGGAGGCGCAACAGGTGCAGTGGGAGGCGTGACGGCAGTGGTGGGTGTCGCCTTGGCCCCCATGACCATGGGTGTCTCACTGATTGCTACAGCTGTAGGTGCCGGGATTGCAGCATCAGCTGGAGGTTTCGGTGCTCATGCTGCCAAGGCCAACAAGAAGATCGTTAACCGGGAAACAGTTGAGAAGCTTGTAAAGGACTACGAGGAAAATGTTGTCGACATTGAACATTGCCTGAATTACATCCTTTGTATGATGAAGGAGATGCAAAGACACAACGTTGGCAAGCTAAAGAAAATCGGAGCAAACCCAGGCACACTGAGGATGGTGGATCTGTCTCAGGCTGTGTTAAGAAACAACATGTACAGAAGCAGGCAGATGTCTCCCATCAGTCCTGGAGGGATGTCTTCTGGAAGTTTATTAAAAAATTTTGTTAGTGAATTTTATCTCTATTTCACAGAAAAGAATGGCCAAAAGTTGAAGAAGACAAATAAGAGCAAATTCTCAGGAAGAGTTTGCATTTTGGTTAGAAACCTGCAGGAGGAACTCAATTATTTGATTCAAATGTGGGAAGCATTAGCCTAAAAACAGATTAATTAATGTATAATTAATAGTTAGTAAAGACATTTATGTAAATAACAAAAGCATATATGTTGATGTTCAGTAGAAAAACAATTTCATTCAACTTATAACATTACTAAGAAGTATTATAAAAAAAAAAAAATTTTACAGATAACATTATTATTAACTTATATTGTATAATTTAGTCCCAGTCTTTCATTCTTCCAAGTTATGTGTTGTTCATGACTGAAACTGTTCTATTTATTAGCTCATCTTGACTCATGTTGTCTTTTTTCCAGTTTAGTCAGTGTAGAAACTACTGGAGGTTAGCCTAAGTTTTAGTTGATGTTTTCAAAAAGTATAACTGCCCTCAAAATAAACTAAGGTCAAAACATTATATTTGGAAAGGAAAGTGCAGAAAACACTGGACTGAACTATCACAATGAAAAGCATGAGGTGTTGCAATGCAACGGACACCTTTGCACCTTCCTTCAAACACTAAAACAACGATGCTCCAGCTATTATTCATTGTCTGATTTTCATGTTTTGACATTTTCTTAATCAAGTTTGTGCTCAAATTGAATTATATTGTCCAAATTCAATATGAATACTAAGGTATTTCTATTCCGTATATGTACAAACTGGAAAAAATGCAAATAGTTACAGCAAATGTAACAGGTGAACTTTCCCTTGTAAAACCTGTATATACTGCTCTGCAATGTTTTAATCTGTAAATTACTGTTAATTAATACATTTACATAATAATTTAAATTTTAAGAATAAATATTATTTAAAATCTCATTTGGTCTTTTTTCCCCTTTTGGATTCAGCATAACCTTGAGTTTCAGTAACCTTGAGTTAATCTTCACTCTATCTCTACTAACAGACTTAAGTTTTAACACCATGAGATCTTCTGCCAGCTAACCAGCAATGTGCAGCAAAAAGTGGGGGAGAGGAAACTTACTTTGTGCTGCCTACCGCAAAAAGAAAACTCCTGTGGGTGACACATTTTCTGTGTCTTGTGTACTATAAATACAAGACAGGTGTTGAGACCAAAACTAGTCACTGGTATCATGGCAACATGGTTAAAGTTTTTCATTTATAATGAGATATAAAGCTGTTTGTTCTATTTAAGGCTATAGCTGTAATCATCAGACAGACTGGTGACCTGAGAATTTAACCAGACCCAAATGTGAACGATTAAAATATTTAAGTAACCACTGCTGGGAGAGAGACAGGTCAGTGGCTAGGATTAGTTTGATGACTTCAAGAAAACTTAGAAAGAGCTACAAACCCTCTCAGTACTCTGGTAAAGGTGTGAATCCTGTGCTTTGGTTCCTTAAGATGGCCATACACTGTATGATATTTTCAGTCCTTTTTCTCAGCTATAGCTCAAAAGTGTAGGATTTAATGCCCTTGTTTGCACATGCGCAAGACCCAAGGCTTAGTTAAATTGACTCTTAACTATGCTTCAACAGTAGGATATGCTTACAGTCACCTCATGAGGGCCGACTACATTTCAAACATGTTTGATTGTCACCCGACCATACAATTTCTGATCGAGAAGTGGTTGAGAATGGGTAACTGCCCCCCGTCTCCCCATCAATACTGCATGATGTTGGACTCATGATGAGGCTGAAACTGGACCTGATTCGAAAAAATGTAGGCTTGATTGAAAGAATGTCCCAAAAAGGGCAAAAAAATGGTACCATGTTTGCCTGACTATAGCGACTATAGTGGGAGCTAAGAGTATAAAGATTAAATCACCACAGGAGAACAGGAGGGGAGACAGTCTGGCTTTCTTCACGGCGACGGCCACCGGCAGATCTTTGGAACTGCTTATATGATCCTTGGGAAAGTCTTGATAATCAGATTGAGGTTTAATATCTTAGTCACTCTTATGGGCAAGCAGATCTTGGGATGAGAATTGAATCTGTGGTCAGGCAGATGGAAATGAATCTGAAGGGCTGAAGCTTGAGGTCTAGTCAGTAGTCAGAAACAGAGTCGTGGTCACAAATATCACAAAACAGGCAAGATAATCCAGTAAAGGCAAGACAAGATGGGAATCTTGGAAACAGAACAAGATGTTTTCAGGCAGGCAGGCAAGGGCAAGTGCAAGGCAAGGCAAGGCAGGAGGGAACACTGGATATTTACTCAGTCAGTGGCTTTCAAATATCTGGCTGACTGGAATGCCGATAGAGGCTTAAAAGCCAGGAGATAAGGTGAGCTGAACAGTGCTGACTGGGAGTTGCCGTGTTTAACACATTTTCAGCACCCACCTGAAAATAATGTATGAGGTCAAACCAAACGTTTTGAGGGATGTTGAAAATTTAAAGAAAAAGGGGAAACTGATTCACCTGTCTAAGAAAATTATTGTTTCACTGTGGGATAGTGGCCTACAGTTCAGTTGTGGCTCAGGTCAAGTTCACTGAGTACATTGGGTCCAGGTTGTGCTAAGACATGTTTATATTAATAATGCAAATGGCTTGATTTTGATTAACTTTTTTTCATGTCCTGCACCAAAGTGCCCAAACCTCATGGGTATGCAGAGTGTTAAATGATGCTGTATGCGATGTCTCATAATGTGTGTTTCTGTACATTAAAGAGAATGTTTAACATGTTATCTGTTGTATGTCCAATCACATATATAAACTACTTACTGATACTTAACAAATCATTAGTAAGTAATTCACCAATGGCTTGTTCATGACCTTTTACTAGTTTATAAGGTATGGTTATAAATCATTAACATACAGTTAACAAGTCATTTATAAGTAATTAACTAACATTTTATTAATGGTCTATTAACTATCTATAAGGCATAGTTATAAATCCTTGGCTAATTATTAACAACCACTTAACAAGTGATTAATAACTAATTAGTTAATAATTTATAATTTATCTATTAACTATTTGTAATGGGTAGTTATTATAAAAGTGTTTTTCAACCCTGGTCCTTAAGGCATACTGCTCTGCATGTTTTAGATGTTTCCCAGCTTTCACACACCTGTTATCAATTGATAGCAGATTATCAGGCTTTGCTGAACTGCAATAATCTGAATCAGGTGTGCTGAAGCTCAGAAACATCCAAAACATGCAGAGCAGTGTGCCTTGAGGACCAGGGTTCAAATACACTGTTATAAAGTATTAGCCATTGCTACAAGATCAAGGCAACATCTCCCAGAGACTGTACAACCAGTTACCTGTTAGCTAGATCCTGCTAAGAGAAGTAGCTGTGTTTTGCTGAAAAGGGTTAAAGTATTTTTCTACATTGGCAAAAAGATTCTTGAGACCTATGCCATTAATGATGATGGTTCTGAGCACACAATCACTCCAAAGTGTTACTCAAATGCTCATGGTTATTGGAAATAGTGAGAACCAGGCACCCAGAACTCTCCACCAGGACATCAAGACAGTATTTGGAAAGTTCATGTCTTCTTCGATGTCTTCCATAACTTGTCCACAGAAATGTCAAGTCAAAAGGCTCAACTACAAGTGGAATAAGTCTCAGTTTCAAATCTCTTTAAATTTATTCATAGAATGATAAAAAAACAGGACATAAAGCTCATTTTTAATAAAAGCATTCCTTAACCCTGCCCTGCCACAGACTGGCGACCTGTCCAGGGTGTACGCCACCTTCCACCCATAGCCTTGTTGGGCCATAAACCATGATGATAACTTTGGAAACTGAGGACCAATGTTCAGGCTGGTAGCCGACTATGTTTATAGTCAGATATGTTATATATTAATTGCATGCGGTGGGAAAAAGGTATTCAACTATATAGTCCAGTTACCGGTAAATAAATGGAGATTGATGGATTTCACTCATTAAGCATTTTACTCTATTTTGCAAAGTAAATTGAGATCACGACATCATTCATGGTGTTTATCCCTGTTCTTACTAGACATAGTTTGTCTCTCACTAATTAATCCTGCAGAAAGGCTATGAAGGTCTCCACTTGTCTATTTTATCCCAAACACTTCTTAATAGGATAAGCATCCGCCTCTCTCTTCGACATATGGCCTTGCAGCTCTGAGGTCTAAATGAATAAAACTAAGAACTCATATGTGTTTACATATCTATATCTATATATATATCTATATATATATATATATATATATTTTTTTTTTTTTTTTAAATAAATATATTTAAAAGGGAATTAATAGGAGATTTTTTTTCCCACCACAATGCTTAATGAAGGTTTTTTTCCCCACTATCTGGAAAGAAGGTCAAATTATTCCGCTACCCAAAGATAGCAGACAAGCGCTCACTGGCAAGAACATCAGACCTATCACTATTCTCCCAGTTCTTAGTAAACTGGTGAAGAGAATAGTCCATTCACAAATACGGGAATACTTTGACTATAATGGTTTGAATACAGAATTCCAACATGCTTATAGAACATAACCTTGTTTCGCTCTTAAAACAATGATGGATGATTGGCTTAAAGCAATGCATTATTCTTAGATGACTGTTGCAGTATTTCTCTATTTTAGTGCGGCATTTGATGTCATAGATCATAATCTACTCATCAGTAAATTAGAATGCTATGGATTTAGTCCAAGCACCATAAAATGTATGAAGAGTTACCTCACAAGTAGTACGTGACAAATAATTTTCTCTGGCAGCTGGTCTCAATCCAGGGTCTTGGATTGTGGGGTCCCGCAAGGGAGCTGTCTGGTACCACTTTTATATGGTTTCTTCATGAATGATTTACCATCAGTTTTGTGTAAAACAACTGCACAAATGTATGCTGATAATTCCACACTGTATTATGCTGCAAAAACTGTCACTGAACTGGATAATGTTTGTCAGCTGATTTAGATATGTTTTTTGATTGGATAAAATTAAATCAGATGATATTGAATATGTCTAAAACCAAATAAATTATCTTGGGAAGTCATATACTGTCATCTACACCAAAGATGAAGTAAAATTATTGGGCATTATAAATTATAATCAGTTGTCATGGGCAGAACACATTGATGCCATAGTGAGGAAGATAGGGTGTGGTATCTCAACGGTGACGAAATGTCTTTCATTTGTCCATACATATATTTTGGGACCTGGAATATTGTGCACCTGTATGGTCCTCTGCATCTAAAGGTCAACTAGGGAAATTACAAACTGCCCAGAACAGAGCTGCCAGGTTGGCTTTATATTTTTAATGGTGGTCAGGTGATATTACCATGTTTAAAGCTGCAGTCTGTAACATTGAGGAGAGAGCAGACTTCGACTGAAAATTTGAAGAAAAACAGGTTTCACGCCACTCCCCCACCCTCTCTGCTTCACTCATGCCCCACCTCCAAGCTCCACCCCTCTCACAGCATCTGCGCGGCTACCGCATGCGACCAGAAGGGGGGGGGGGGGGGGGGGGGATTCAGCGTGTGTGAGCTGTGATTGACACTCCATCAGACGCTCCTCTGGCTGTGATTGGTTGTTTTGACTCATCCCGAATTATTCTTTCCAGATTGAAATACAGGCAGTAGGCGGGACCAATTGAAGCAGTTTTTTTCACAGGTTAAATATCACATGTACTGCTGTCTGGGCATAGGGACAGTTTTAGCCAATATGACAAAAAAGTGATTTTTAAAAACTTACAGACTTCAGCTTTAAATAGCAATACACAAGCAAAAAAAAACTATTTGCAAACAGTAGATGTATGCTTCAAATTTGACCACCTAATGTATTGTTTATTTCGTAACTAGTACCAGGATTTCAATAAAGTGTTTTAAACACTGCAGATATTGCATTCATAGTTAAAGTAGAACTATTTTATTGTTATTAGAGTTAAAACGGATTTTCACCTGATTGGCGTAGGGATACGATTGACGTCCGCGGAAGGATATCATTGCCTCCCCTCCATGCTTCAGCTCTATATTTGTACCGCTCGAAGCGAGCAGCCATTTTCCTTTGTACAGACTCACAACCGTAATACCACCGTAGTTAGACATTACTGTCTTTTGCCGTAATGGCAGTGTAAAGTGTGCCGCGACCCAGCAGCAACCAACCAAACAGTGCATCCAGCCAGTGCACTGAGTCACTTCTAACTCAGCAACATGTCGTAAGTATTATTTCCGTTACTTTTGTCGAATACAGCCGTTTCCTTCTACTGCTTCCGCCCTTCCGATTAAGCTGCCAACGTTGTACAAAAACAAATTTAGACTTCAAATGTATGACTACTTTATAAACAAAATACGAATATGTTTCACACAGTAATAATTTACACGTTTTATACCAGTTATTTTAATGACCTCGTCTACCTCTACCTTTGCTACTAATGTAGTTAAACACGTGTTTAATTCACATAGTTTAAATCTATATATTTAATGACCTTTCTAATTCCGCCATGGTATAGTGCCTGCGTGGCAAAAAATTATCCTGTGAGTTTTTGTGTCAAAATGGCGGCTTTGTGGGTGGATTTAGAACAATAAAGCTGCTGTTGTTAAAGGCCTTTTTTTTGTTGTTGTTGAGGCCTCTTTAATGCGCCTGACGTCAGAGTCGCCTGACTGGTAGAGAAAAGTGATGTAAGAGAAGTGCAAGTGCAGACATAGGGGGCAGTGTTATAACATGTAGATTTATTACTTTGAAGACCTTAATAGAATTAAATAATGTCATCTTTATAAAAAATAATAATTAAAGATTACATAATCTTTAATATATTATTTTAGATGCACCTTTAAAAGCCTGATTTACTCTTTAAAACTATAGTTATAATTTAATGTCTTATTACACATCTAGGTATAACTCTACTGTACTGTAATTAATATAAACATAAAAAATACCATTTCAGAATGTTGAATAATTTATTTCCTCATGATGTTGCCAGTCTCACTATTGCAGACAAGCATAGTAATGAGCTGAAAGTCATTGCAGCCTCCATTCTAGACTTCTTCCTTTCCTGAAAACCTAACAAAGTTACACCTGTATTAATTAAATGGTTTTATTAAACCCTTAATAATCTTTACAAATTGTGCATTTCACGTTACAGGTCCTACGTGGAAACCTTCAGTACTGCTGCATTCGACAGCATAAAAGAGTTGATCGCCGTCCTAACTTTGTCACACACCCCGTTTGTGACCGACAACGACCACTATGACCATGACGATGACAAGCTCACAGTTTGGCCTGGAAGACATGGAGGCCCTTCTTTGGGGGCCTTCCTCTCTCATGGTTGATGCCCTGGACCCCCCGTTTCTTCATCCTGACAAAGATGGACAACAGGAAGGAGGAGAAGTCCTGCTGCCGGGGCACACGTCGCCCCTCGCCTCCTCGGTACTTTCTTCATCGTCTCCGCCACCTTTCTACTCTCCTCCTCCCTCGCCACCAGCTGTTGACCTGAGTGGAGACAAAGCTGGGATGGAGTCTGAGCTGCTCCCCCTCTCTTGGTTGGACCAGCCGGTTCAGCCGAGATCGAGTCACATGGTTTCGGGGGACAGTAAAGGTGATTGATAGAAATGTTGAACGTTTATCTGTGTGGGGATCAATTATTACAATGTGGTGGTTTTTGTCTCCAGATGATGTGCTCAGTGATCTGGACTGGATGGCTGAGAGGGTGGATCTGGGTGATTTTGACCTGGACTCCCTGATCGGCCCCTGCAGTCCTGTTGAAGAGTCTCCCAGCTCTCCAGACGATCTTCTCGCTTCCCTGGATTCTCCCATGGAGCTCGACTCCTTCCCCCTACAGACACTCCCAGCTCCAGTTAACTCAAGTTCTCCATCTGCTTCCTTTTCTGACGCCCCCTCTCTGTCCACTCCCACTCTCTGTTCAGATCCTCCTGTCACCTCCATAGATGAGGCTGGTGGGCAAGAGGTTCCCTCCTCCCCACTTTTGGTCCCTGAGCCACAGGAGGAGCTTGAGATAACGTCTGAACCTGCTTCTCCTGGCTCGTCTCCTGCTGTGGTTGATTCCCCGTCCTCTCCAGCCTTCACGTTGGATCTGGGCAGCGAAGTGGATATCTCTGAGAGCGAGGTGAAGCCCGTTTTAGCCTCTGTGGTTCCTCAGGCCCCGAAGATCGTGCTGTCCCTCTCATCACCACGAATTGTCCTCGTGCTGGCTCCCAAAAATGATGTCGGGGTCACTTCCACAGCTGAGGTAATTCACTGCCCCTTGACATCCTCTCCTCCACAGAAGTCCCCCAGAAGCAGACCCTACCCAAACCCCCAAATCAAAGCCAGTCCGCCCTTCCCCAGCGCCGCCGCTGATGAGGTGAAGTCTGTCCGGGCTCCAGGGGGAAAGGAAAGGCCCACTTTGAAAGCACCAAAAGACAAGAAACAGAAGAAGATGGAGCAGAATAAGACGGCTGCCACGCGCTACAGGCAGAAGAAAAGAGCTGAACAAGATGCTCTTCTGGTGGAGTACGGTGAGCTGGAGAGGAAGAACGTGGAGCTGACGGAGAGGGCCGAATCTATGGCCCGGGAGATCCAGTATCTAAAGGAGCTGATGGAGGAAGTTCGCCAGACTATGCAGAAAAAGGGCCTAACTGCTGACCCCTAGTGGTCAGGCTGTAGATGGCAGATGGAAATGAGATGGACTCAGCAGGTTTACTAATTCAGGCTATCAGTAAAGCATGTCTTGGAATCTAATTCTACGCATGTCTCAGCACTTGTGTTACACTCTTGTCATGTATTAATCATAAAATGAGTATTTCCCACACAGAATATATAAACCTTTATAAAGCTACTTTTATATGTACCTTCCTCCTAGCTATGGACCTGTAGTCTAAACATGATATATGTATTTTAAACATTTTGTGTATCAGTATGTAGACTGAATCTCTTAATAAAGAGTCTTAAACCAAACCTCTCGATTTGTTGTAACTGGTGAGCAGAAGCAGAAAGTTCTTTCTAATGGAATATAGGATATAAAACATAGTCCGTAGCTAATGATGGAGTTTTAGGACACAATATTAGAAGTAATCTGGTTCTAACTTCCATTGGCCTGTATTTTTAAGTTGACATTAACTGAACATAATCTACAAAACTAGACTGTTCCCATTTTCTGAAACAATTCAGCAGTAAAGTGATCAAAGGAGTCCCTGTTACTTTGAACAGATTATCATATATATATTTCACAATTTATATAAAAAAAATGAAAACAATGTACATTACTAGAAATATTTGACAACTTATCTTATATCAGCATTGTTTGTACAGTTGTACAACAATGCACAGGGTTCTTGCTTAAAACAAAATTATTTTGACCTATTTTCCCCTTCTTTCATTTTCAAAGAAGGCAGTTAACGTTTGCTCTTTGGTCTTTTATTTAACACTAGTTCAAAGATAAGTAAATGTTCTAACTAAACTGAGTTGTAGGTGCCTATATGTTTAGGTTGAGGTGGCACTTCAAAACCTGATCTAAAAGGCCATTCTGGGAAGCTTTACAAGCATAAATATGATACCAAAGTTCACAAACTGCTTTTTCTTTTAACCAGTTCGGGGTTGTAGATTTGGAAATCAAGCTTGTAAAATGGAGAAATGGCCTCATATGAGAGAGGAAACACATTTTCTGATGTATGCCATCATCTTAAACTTAAGGCCTAACCAGGTTTGGGGTTTATATTCTGTGCTAACAGGTGAAAACAAATATGGCAGCAAGAAATGGCATCTGGAATCTTAAATAAAAAGTATTACTTTGTCAGAGACAATGTGGCTGAAACTTAAGTGCACATCCATATATGTTTTGGGGGGCAGGTGGTCAGAGGTTAGTGGGCAAATATCAAAATAAGATGCTGAAGTTCATTCGTTTGGATTTGTGGGGGAAAAAAACGTAAATTTTTCCACATTTATTCTGATTAAAGCTGCATACCTAAATTATACCTATATGTATTATTTGGGGGTTTATGTGATGGAACAACATGCTTTTCAAATTTTAAATAAGCTGCAGAGTATTACCAAGGAAAACAGCAGGATTTAAAGCAGGGTTAGGTTTGAATTTCTTATAACTGTTCAATACATCACCCTTTAATAGATGATGCACTTCAAACATACCAAGTCATGGCTGTTTACCTAAAAAACATGAATCAATGTAGGAGCAAAGACAGCCACAATAACTAAAGGAGCTACAAAGATCTGAAGCTCAGGCAGAATAATCTGCTAACAGATTATTAATTATAAGCCCCACAAATCTGGAAAAGTGATGAAACAAAAGAGGTTGAAAGCCAAAAAAACTTTTTGTTTTTTCTCCATACCACATTGGGGACACAACAAACATGTAGAAGAATAAAAGTGACCTTTGTGGCTTTTATGCGTAATGTGATGTGTGAAGGGAAACAATGATCATCACTTTGATGGATCATCCCCTCTGAGAAAATGAATAGTGAAAGTGATATAAGAAGTAAACCTATTAGAGCATACACAGTAATGACCTAAATACAATTGAGAACTCGTGGCTTGAATCATCTGAAAACCACTTCCTTTTTCTTTCCACTTCACAATCTTGCACTTCTTATTTTTTTGTCTGTTAGAAACAAGTCTTATGAAACACATTAAAATTTAAGGTTGTTACATGAAATGTTTTCAAAAGACAAAGTGGTAGGGACACTAATTCGACCTGCTGTACATTTACAGATAGGAAATATTCATGTTTAGTATATATGAGCATTGAATTTTTGCTGAGTGAATAAAATAAACTGAATTATGTTTTTTTATTCTTAGAAGGCATATGGTCCCACTCACTTCAGGTACCTTGAGGTAATTCCATCTTTTTATCATAACTGTCATCGGTCTTATGAATTGTGAATTGAGTCAAAGGAACGAAAACTTTATGTGCACTTTATATTATATTATTTTTTTGTGTGCTGAAAAGATGTGCGTCTGTTAGAGACCTGGGTAATTGATGGTAATGAAGCCCGCCTGACCTGCAGCAAACTGATGCACATGACATGAAATCAAGTGACAGTCATGTGAAGTAACTTTCCAACTCGCACAAAACTAAAAACCGTGGAAATGGACTTGTCCTGAATGGATCTAGTTCTGATATTGACTAAATTAAAAGTCTCAGTTTAGTTAAAGCTGTGCAACTTAAACAAAAGTGCAGATTTTGTCACAATGTCTGCAGGGTTGGTTTAGATGCTGACGCAGGCCAAGTCCAAACAACATTACCCACAAAATGCTTGCATTCGTCTTATAACAGGCCCTCGGTGGACATGCAGTAATTGGCCCGGGCTGTGGTCCAGAAAGCTAAAGGGGGTGGGGTGGGGGGATCTATACCAGAGTGGAAACGTGCCAGGGAGAAAATGGTGCAGAGCAATACATGCAGATCCTTTTCTCCTGGGAAAAGGGAATGAAGGGTGGGGGCCAATTGGACTTTCTGGATTCTGCATGCTACTAATTAATAGAAGTGAGGATGGTGACCACAATAGGAAACCTGCATCAAATTGTCCTTCTGATGGATATATTTCCTTTGTAATAGAATCATGCTTACTCAGCTGCCATCTAGTGGTTAAACCCCTTACTCTTCTCTCCTCCAAAGTAAAGCTGAATCGTTTTTTTATATTTTTATTCAGTTCTTTTGGGGGGGAGGCATTACGTAATGTTACAAAGGGCCTCGTCGCTGACCTCAGCAAATATCTGCTTTCTGCTCTGCTTCTGATGAGTCTGGGTTTAGCTTTGAAACTATGAAACATTGAGAGAATAGGAACATGCTGGGCTTTAAAACTCCTATCTATCTATCTATCTATCTATCTATCTATCTATCTATCTATCTATCTATCTATCTATCTATCTATCTATCTATCTATCTATCTATCTATCTATCTATCTATCTATCATCTATCTATCTATCTAGTTTAATTTTACATGTTCCACAGGGTTCTGGTCTCAGACCGACTCTGATCACAGTTTCCTTTGGAAAATATTACTTGATGCTATTGATACCCACCTCCAGTGAGGAAAACAAGTATTTGAATATGCTTCTATTTTGCAAGTTGTCTTGACCTAAACCCAATAGAGAATCTTTGGAGGCAGCTCAAACTCTGTGTTTCTCAGCGACAGCCCAGAAACCAAACTGATCTAGAGATTATCTGTGTGGAGGAGTGGGCCAAAATCCCTCCTGTGGTGTTTGCAAACCTGGTGAAAAACTACAGGAAACGTTTGACCCCTGTAATTCCAAACAAAGGCTACTGTACCAAATATTAACTGATTAATTGCTTTTCTAAATACTTATTTACGAGCCTCGTGAGACCATCCTGATCTCGCGAGCTTTCAAGATGTCGCTTGCTAGTCAGTCTGGAGACTCTCCGTTGAAGAAAATTTGGAGGCGTTCACCAAACGAACGTCCAATCAGCGTTGGCTTTGAGGCGGGTTGAGGTGTGACGCAACGAGAAGCGCGACAGTTCAGTCTAAAGAACATTGCGGCTTCAGCCGATGAAACTAGCGTTAGCGTGGCTGTCGAGCAAGTTTTATCGGAATTACAGAGTATTTCCTCACTGAAAGAAGAGCAAAACACTGCTCTGGAGGCTTTTCTCAAAGGAAAAGATGTTTTTGCTCTTCTCCCGACTGGTTTCGGCAAGAGTAGCCTGGCTGTTAGTACGTCATATGCTTCGTTGATCTGATTGGTTTATTTGGCCCGTCTATCATCAACATAGGCCAATCAGCTAACCAGTATTTTCGCCCCTTCCCAAAATTACTTCTACGGAAGGTTTCCAGATGGATATGCGGAGCAAATCCATCTGGCGGAGTCAGGTTACTTATTTACAGCTGTATCATACAAATAAATAGTTAAAAAATCATGCAGTATGATTTCTGTATTTTATTTTTAGATGATGTCTCTCACAGTGGACATGTACCTATGACAGTTTCAGACCCCTCCATGACTTCTAAATGGGAGAACTTGCAAAATAGCAGGGTGTCCTCACTGTATATCTACTGTAGAAACTCAGAATATTAAAATTTTTTTTGCAGACATTAAGCAACTCCGTACATCCTCTGCAAAACAGAAATAGATCTATCTCTTTAAATACGAGGTGTGAAATTGTACTGTATAGCTAAATTGTTTTAAAAAATGTCAATAAGAACTGAACCTAATCTCCCAACAAATGTAAATTAAATCGTCATTTCATCTACAGAACATCACCAAAATTATAAAAGAAATCTGCGATTATTTTATTTATTTTTTTAGCAATTTCCATATATTTGCCACTTTCAGGATGGATAACTGTTGATAACCGTGTCGGTTTGTCAAATTCCATCAGAATACATTGAATTCAGAATAGATCAGCAAAGTTAGGCCGTAAAATCAAAGGCAGAAATACCCAGCAATATATTAGAACCTTTTATTGTTGTCAGAGGATGAACAAAGTTCTGATGGCGATACAAGATTTACCACAGTCAGTAACGTCACTTTGGCTGCAGTAAGGTGGTAGAACTTACACAGTGCAAAATGCTTTGCTATAAGCTTAAGCTTTCACATATTTTCACATTGCAATTATACACATGTTCACAAGTAAAGCAAGACTCACAGTGAGAGTTTTGCCACATCCTGGTAGGTTTAAAGGCATGCTCGTCACAATAAGTGCTGCTGTAGCCTACGTCACTAAGAGAAGCGCAGGAGTCAGTGAAACACAGACAGGGCTAGGCTGGCAGGAAGGGGGGGGGGGTCTTTTGTTCTTCACGTCATGTATAGAAAAAGGAGATTCGGCTGCCTGGCAGTGGTGTCCGTCACTTTCTGAACAGGCGTCTACCTCTATGTCTGTTAACTTCCTTCCCCTCCCTCTTCCACGTTCTCTCACATTAGTGAAAGATGAGGTGGAAGGGCCAGAAAACAGTCACGACAAGAGTAAGAAGAATAAGAAGTGAGGTTGCCTTCGACTCTTTAGGCACTCTTTGTTCGCATGCGGTGTCTTTACATGCCGCCGACAGCTCAATATACATTTAAATATTACTTAAGGTCATCAAAAAAACAAACAAAAAAAGGAAGAATCACCACCAAGCATGTAAGGGACTGATGTGTGGTGAATGTAGAAAAAGGTTAGCAGGTAGTAAAAGCTCTGAATGGTTCATGAGGTTATTTAGTTTGTGTAGCATGCGAAAGCTTGTCGTAGCATTTTTAAGGATACAGCCGCTTGGTTGGCTCCCTCACGCTTTGATGCTGAGGCACGGAGATGAATCTACCTGGTCGATATTTGCGCTGGATGCATGACGGCCTATGCTGCTCCGCTGGGATCTGAGGCTGCATGGTTTTGGCTGCAGGTTTCCCTCCACTCTTTTGTTCTCCTTGAGAAAGAAGGCTAAGGAACGGTGTAACAGAATGCACTCTGTTTTACATTAATTCTATTTTTTAAGTGCTTCATATAAACCCAAGGAATTTCTCCTGATGGATTCGTGACATGACTCCCGCCTTCATTTTGGCAAACAGCGTCGATCTGCGTTTTCTCTAAATGTGTCCTGTTTTCCCCTGAAGGGATCAGTTCAACCCCTGACTCCCTGAGCAGACTCTAATCATACTCTAATGAAGGCAATTTTAATATCCAGGATATGAATGCGGAGCAGACATGATGAAAGCTGCGCCTGTGAAGCACGGTTTCTGCTTCACCTTTGTACACCCGCTGCAGTCGGAGACAACAGTATGAAGGCACCATCTTCTCTTCCACATATCAGGAATCCCACACCCACTGCGGTTTAATCAGAATCAAAATAGATATTACAGATGTCTCTTTAACAGCAGCAGAGTGTCTGTTCCCATTGGTGTTCAGGTGGGGTTAGTAAAGGCCGAGTTTTGCTGAGCTGAGTGAACAGTGGGTATGGTCTTTATAACAAAGAGCTGAGTGTCACAACTCTTGTTCTTGAACCATTTCTTGTTCTTCCCTGAATCTCGTCAGAATTACCGAGGGATGAGGTGGAGGGATACATGAGGTGATGTTTGGGGTCTACTGAAGACAACGGGAGGGAACGCTCCCCGCCAACATCGGGGCCGCTTGGTCACTGCAGCTGGCATCCCCGGCAGTCGTCCTCCGGTTCGGTGTTGTCTGAGGAGTAGGAGCTCTCTTCGCTCACTGTAACAGCAACAATAAAAAAAACAATGCTGTGTTAAAATAAATCAGATGAATAATTGTGTTTATTTTTTTAAATTCATATAAATCTTTGTAAATGCTTCTTTATTTGAGCTTATACCTACTGGACTGGATTAGGATCACCTTTTTGTTATCCTACCATAACAAATATAAAACATTCATTCGGATCCATCAGAAGGTAATTGATTAATTGAAAGGGGTCTCTAATAGAGTTAGATCAATATGTTGAATATTCATTAGGCCATTCAGCTGCCATGCCTTGAGATCACAGGAATCTGCTCTCAACAATTGCTATTTCAGTGTTAGTTTTTGTTTCATTCTATTAAATAAATGTTTCTTGTTTAAAGTGAAATTTATCATTGCATAATTTTTACCCTGCATGTATCTGCTTAAAAAAATAGCAGCCAACATCAGGGATCAAATAGATTAATATCAAAATATTTGGTATCGGCCTTAAAAAAACAAACTTGTTTTGGTCAATCTGTAGTTTATAATCGAACAACTGACATCCCACTAGGTAGATCATAATTAACCTGAGCTGTAGAAGGAGTGTGGGAGGTAATACAGTTTCAGCAGCAGCAAGGGACAGACAGGATATGAGGATGACCAGATGATCCCCAATGACTAGCAGGCAGGTTGAAATACTATGCTGGGTTATGATGTTAAAGGAGGCTTAAATTTCAGCCTTTTTAATTTTTTTTCTTTACAAAAAACACTCCAGATGGGTCAGGTGTGAAACATAATAAGTAGGAAAGAACCTCAGGCTAAGCACGGTGTAGGACTGTAATGCTGTGGGCCATTCTCTCTTAACGGAAGCTGTGTGCTTTGATGAGTGCGTTTTGATTACATAAAGGGGGGAACGATATATTTAAGTGGTGGTATCAATCATTAAAGCAACAGTAATTATCTGAGACAATTATTTCTTAATATCATTTTATACAAAATATTTGATATATATTAATTGTTTATGTGAAATTTGGCAAGTTAAACACAACTTTAACGGTGGAGCCATGAAAGTAAAAACCTGGATAAACGTTTCTATCTGAATCCCCTTTGATTCCGACATACGGGCTGCAGCTCGATGTCTTATTAAAGTAAAACATAAAAGCATCAGGCGACTAACTGTGGGTGCAGCTTTAGCGCTTCTTTATGATGCACCATGAATACTATTTCCAAATAAGTGTATGTCATCAATGCTGGACTACAGTAAACAGGTCAATGGGTTAAAATATTATGTCTGAACTCCAGAGCTGGTGGGCTGAAGGACTGAAACAGTGAGTGTGATAAAAGCATGAGGAAGCATTAGTCTCCTCCGCTTCAAACTAATTTCAAAAGGTCCTTTCTAACATGCAATAGTGAAAAAAAAGCTCTTTACCAAATTATTCAGAAACAGGCAAACTCTGGAAAGTAAACAAATGGAGGAAAAGCTTCTTCTGTTTTTTGTCACACTTAGATGTTTTACATCTTCTAACATGTTTTAATATATCATGTTTAAGTCATGGTTCAATCCATTATGCCGAAGAGACCCAGACCATCACACTTCCACTACCATGTCTGATAACTTTAATGGTCTCTGACTGTTGGTTTCACAGAATAACAAGACTAATCGTCCTTAATGTGACATTTTCTCTTATCCTTTTATCCTCCTCGCTCCTTGAGGAGCATGGTAATGACGAGATGGCATTTTTTGGTGAGCTGTAGTTTTCTCATGAATGCCAGTTTATTCCAGTCTTTTACCTTATAGTTGGATAATGAATTCTAATAACTAAAGTGAGGTCTGCACTGCTCTAGATGTTATTCTGGTTTCTATTATGGCTTCCTTGATGTTTTGCTAATGTGATCTAGAGATAGATTTTAAAAGTCCTTCCACTTCTGGGAAAGTTTATTAACTGCTCCATCTTCTCTCTCATTGTGGATCAAAGGAGACCTAAATCCTTAGAAAGAGTTCTGCATGGTGTTACCTGCCTGACACCTGTCAGTCAGAGGTCTTTAGGCCTACTTCGTGTTGTCAGACAGGTTGGACTTGAGGTTTTTTAAGTCTACAGGTCTGGCAATAATCAGGCCAGGGTTATTTAATATGATTATATGCTCTTTGAGGCAAATCAATGCAATATTTTTTTTAAAATCTATTCTGTTTTGTGTGAAAAAAATTGCATGAGGATCATAAAACCTATTTGTTTAAAAAATAAAATAAAGAAAAGCATTAGCGAATGAAATCTTTATGGGTGGAAAGAGTAAAAAAAAAAAAAATCTGAGTTGCACAAAACCTTTGCAGCCCCTCAGATATGTGACGAATGCTGAGAGAGAAGCAGCGCGACTTACACCACTCTGTCTGGATGGGCAGGAAGGCCCTGTCGCCGTTCTCCCTGATCATCTCTTCTATCCTGTCCAGAAGGAGAGACACGCTCCTGTCCTTGCCGGGCGTCTTACTGTCCAGGACGTGGTAATAGTTCCCACAGTACTCCAGCAGTCTCTGCAGCTCCCTTCCTCCCCGGAGGATGTGCTCCTCGATGGGCGTGTGTCCCAGCCAGTCGCCGCAGCTGAACAGCACCATGGTGTGGAGGCACGCGTTGTCTCCGAACAAAGTCTCGATATGAGCCAGCAGGGTCCTCCTCTTCCTGGCCGTGAGGGATGAGACGACTGGGAGGACCAGCAGCAGGGTGTGTGGCCCCGGTCGGAGGAGGGCGGCCCCGCGCTGAGACTCTTGTCGGATCCGCTTCGGGGTCCTGCTAACTGAAAACCAGTCCCAGCCCGGGGTGTCCACAATGGTGACCCGGCGGCCGCACACAAGCGCTTGCCTTCTCAGACACAGCTCCGTCTCCTGACCCGACTCGAAGAAACGACGGCCCAGGATAGAGTTCCCCACCGAGCTCTTCCCGACGCCCTTCCAACCCAGCAGCAGCAACCTCAACTCTGCAGAGGAAACCACAAAAAGAAACAATGGAATCAAGTACCAAGCGCTCCCCAGAGGAACCATCTGGTCTGTTGTTTTCGCCTGAGCAGCATAACAACTCATGCCCCCCTCTTACCACGGGGAGGTCCTCCGATCATCTGCTCCCTCTGCCTGGCGTGCTCCTCCATCCTCATCCTCTCCTCCTCCAGCGCTCTCCGGGCCTGCTCTTCCTCCAGCAAGATCAATTCATTCACCTCAAAGTACCAGCCTGTGTAAGGCAGCAATAAACAATTCACTGAGTCAGGTTACGTCAGCTCTGTACCACAAATAGAGGCTGCTTTAATAACCATATATAGCATGAAGCATATAAGCAGCGCTTCTATTTATAACGGCCAAATTACTTATTTAAAACAAGCCGGGAAATTAGGGATATTTGCAAACCTTGGTTGTCTGTGACTATTTCCTCCACCTTTTCCATCAGTTCAGGTACTTGGGTGTTCTCCTCTGATTCTTTAAGGTTGTTATCAAAGGCATGATACCTGCAAAAGGTAAAAATAAAACTGTTTTTTTTTCTAATCATTTTACAAATAAAATATGGAGACTGTTAGTGTTTAGGGTCAAGATGACCATGATGCTGCCACCACCATGTTTCACCTACAAATAGTTTTTGCAAACTGATGTAAAGTTGTTTGCCACTCGTAACAGTTTGCACAAAGGCAATCGTCTCATTAGACTACAACATCTTCCTCCACGTTGTTGCATCATCTGAGCATGCCTCTGATTGGTCGAAAAGAAAACAGTCCTACTACTGACAGATGTGAGCCATAATCCTTTGCAGCTCCTCCAGAGTTGCCGTTATATTTAAAGGTGACGGTGAGTGTACTAGTGTTTTTACAGCCCCGCTCTCGGTCACGCATCTTTTTTTCCTTTTGATTAAAACTTTTCCCTCCTCTTTTCAAATTAAACCCATTATTTAACTCTTAAAACGTTGAAAATTAAGATTTTCTTTACTGTTTGCTACAAAAACATAATTAAGATTTCAGTAATTGAACTTTCTCTTGAGTTTGGTCTGAAAATAATGCACTTATTACTTACTTTACATTATTTGTCAAAAGGAAATAGGTAAATAGGTTTGTCTCCATTTATCATGTTTTTTCTTTTACAGAATAGTTTGATTTAATTGGAAAAATGCAAATGAAGTAAAGAGATGGGAAAACTTGTGCAAAGCAGCATGCATATTAGAAAGACTCATCCCCATGATAAGCTAATCTTTCTAAACAGTGATGTCATTCTGATTTTAGCTGGACCATGTTTACTCACACTGATGAAGAAGAAAGCCTTGTGTGCTTTCATCAGAAATGTGATTAAAAAGGTTTGTCATGAATGAGATGACTCATAGTTAAGGTCTTTTTTTCTTCTTTTCTCTAAATGATATTAAAGTCTGGGCTGTGAGATGCATCACAATGAGGAAGGTTTATGGGGTTTTCTGTTCCCTAAGACAGCAGAGCCGACAAAGCATCACCTGAAATATAAATAAGTACATACCAGCTTTATTACTCTTGATTTTTCTTTATTTTAAGGTTTAACAAGATCTTCTACTGAAAATTAGAGGACTGTTTAACTATGGATGTGTTTAAGTTAAAGCTGAGAAATACTCAGATTGTTTAAGGTGTTTATCTAAAAGCCCTGATGGCTTTTATTTTTAATGTTCGGTTCTACCAAACTATCTGAGTTATAGACACTAAACTCTTTATTCGTCATACCTGCTTCCACATCTCTCCACCAGCCACTGCAGGGCCTCTCCGGTGTTGGCTATGTGCTCCTCGATGAAGACGCCTTTGGGCAGCTGGTCTACTCCAGTAAAGAGGACCATGCAGTACCTCCAGGTCCCTCCGCCCAGAGCTCCCAGCTGGTCGTCTGCAGCTCTTCTCTCTCTGTCCCCAAAGGGCTGGGTGATGGACACCACCAGCAGGATGGCGTGTGGTCCAGGGGGGCACAGGATGGCCCCCATGCAGGGGCCCTCGCTGTCTAGGCTCGGAGGAGGCCGAGCGGGGCTGTCAGACTCTGCGCCGGCATTGTCGTCTGTGTCGGTTTCTTCATCGTCCTCATGATCCGTCAGGATGGCCCAAGATGGAGTATCGACGACCGTGACCCGTCGGCCGTAGATCTCCATCTGACCCACGTTGCTGTGGGTCGTCTCTATCCCGGCGTCAAACATCTCGTCTCCCAGGATGGTGTTGGCGGAGGAGGTCTTGCCCGACCGGGGCCCACCGAGGATCAGCAGCCGACGCTCAGGGGGGTGTCGACCCCGGTGGTCCCCTAGAGAGAAAAAGAGAGGACAAGACAACTCTAAACATTAGATTAATAGATCTTAGTAAATCTTAAAAAATGGGGAAGATGAGAAAATGTCATCAAACTGCTAATTTTTTTCATAAAAAAACAGCATTTTCTTGAATTCAGCCGTTAAATGAGACACATTCCCTATGGAATAAGACAATTTATATTTAAAATAAGAAAAAACAACTGCAGTGTCTTATTTCAAGACCATAAGATCTAATTATCTTTTCCTAATGGTAAAAACACTAATTTTATTGGCCGATCATCTCATATACCTACTAAAATTAGGCTTAAATGCACTTATTTTAAGAATGTTTTTCTCTTTTCTAGATTGTTTTTGCAGTGTAAAGTGAATTCTTCTTGGGTTTTATAGGTCATGAACCATCTACCTGTGTAAACCTGCATATATTCCTAATGAGACAATGAAAACAGTGGCAAAAAAGATTAAAATGACCAATAAATGATACTTTCCAGGATGGTAAAAGCACTGCAGGAAAGAGTGGCATGGCTCCAGCAGCAGACATTATTTCTTCTATGATTGCACCAAAAAAAAAAAAAAAAAAAGGTCAAATGTAATCTAAATGTATTCAAAATGGGTTTAGATTTATCAGAATATTCAGCCAATCAAATACCTTTAAAGGTATTCTTATTAGCAATGTATCCCTTACTATAGTCAGGTATTTTAAGATGGCACGTTTGACATAATCCAACTTGATTTCATATCTTTTTTTTTATTTTTTTATTAAAGTGACCGTTTTGGTTTTGGTTTTGTTTTGGTAGACATCCCTCCATCTGCAGAAAATGACACTTAGCATCAAATATCCGTGATAAAAATGTAATCTTTTTTACACATTACGCTCCACAATGTAGTTATCACTGAAAATATGTGAGCGGGAAAAAAAGATTCCCACCCCTAAACAATTTCTGTTTTTAAAAGAAGGGGAGGACCTTTCCTCCACACTAATCCACAGGGACAAGTGGGACGCCCGGTCTTTTAGAAAGAAAAAAAAGTGGGTCTGGCATAAATCAGAAGAATAATGCGTGGAAAGGTAAAGCACAGAAGAGGATCTGTGATGCTGTGGGACAGTTTTTCTTCAAAAGATCCGTGGAGTCGTAAGGCAGTGCATGACTACTGAAAAGTCTTTCATCAGGAGAACTGAAGGTGAAACAGTTCAACACAAACACTGAATAAATTGCCCAGACATGAATCCAAGGGAAACATGTGGGGTGAAGTGGAGAGAAGAGGGCCAAAAACAGGAAGATTCAATTCAAAGATTCCTTTTTCTGCATCAACCTTGTGAAGCCTCACAGGATAAGGCGATGTGCTGTCCTACTGGCTGAGAGGGATCTATAAAGAACTGATAAGAGGGGTCAATGCGACTGGCACCTGTGGAAAAAACAGGATCGTGGTGATTATCATACACCCTGAGTCAAAAAGTATGAAGTCCAGGAGGTATTATGATGAAATGGCATCACGGCTGAATGTGGATGCTCAGCAGCTGGCAGCAGAAGGGATGATGCCCCTGAGGGGATGGAGAGATGAGGACAATATGAGGAGCTGAGGAGACTTCATTGATTTCTTCCCGTGGAGGACTGCTGATGAGACTTTCTGTGTGTGTGTGGCTAATTCCAAGCAGTGCAACAGTTTCCCTTTATGGAGGAAACTGTGGAAGATAGAGCACTGCGAGTTTCCTGTGAGTGATGTGGTCAAATGAAGGTTGATGATGCGGAACGCGTTCTAGCGGATGATAAAGCGTTACTTACCGGTGTCAGAGGCAGAGGACACAGCAGCCATCTTAAGCGTTGAACCTCTGGCTTCCTCCTCCTCGGGCCCCCTCCTTCGTCTCCTTCTCGCCTCCACTGTGGATTGCTGTCCTCTGGCTTCTTCAGAAAGCGAAGGGGCGTGCACTCAGCTTCTTCTCGGCTTCTATTTTACGTTTCCTCATTCTACTGCAGTCCTACTCACTCCATCTTCAAGTTCTTGACTCCCACTCTTTTCTCACACCTCCCTCTCTCAGATCTCTCCTGCAATCTGCTGTTTCTCCCTCACCTTCTTAATCTCTGTAACCCCCGTACCCCTCTTTTCTCTCCTCTTTAGTGTCTCACCTTATCCTTTTCCTTTCTCGTCCAACAGCTTCTCCTTTTCCTCTCCTTTTTTATCTCTCCAAGTATACGGGAGATATTGTGCAATGCAGGAAACTGGATGCCAAATGTAACCCTGCCTCTGCAGCTCTAAGAGGATGTCTCGTCATTTCTTTTCCTTTTTTCTCAGCCAAAGCAGGGGGAAATGTTCCTCCCACTTACTCCTATCACCCAGCAGCAGCAGCAGCAGCAGTAGCAGAATGGACCTGTATGCAGACTGCAGTTGGAGGACTGATGGAAGGAAGGATAGACAGAGAGAGGGAGGGTCAGGAGAGGGAAGGAAGGAGAGGGAGGACTCTTCTATTTACAGCTGGCTGTTGTCCCCAGGTGCTGCATAGCACACAAACACAATTAATTATATAACCCCTGTAGACAGAAATAACACAGGGAAGAAACAACATTAATTTAAATATTAACACAGAACGGCATATTGCATAACATAAAAGCTACTATAAATAGCAGATAGCTGCAAGGCGGTATCAGCTTGATCTGTACATACCCTTTATTACACAAATTAGCATCTCTCTGCATCAATTAAGACATGCACAATTCCCCGATGATAAAAACTCAAAACTGATATATTATCATATGTGCTTTTCTCAAACGACAATAAGATTAATGAGACGTTTTATAAGCACTGGTTGACATACTTTTACGTTTTTTTTCTGCAGTGGCGCTTGAACGTTGCCAGGGAGTTCGATTTGATCACTCTGCCGTAGAACGTTGAGACTGTCGCAATGCGACCTCTCGGGGAACGGTAGACGAGTCTGCCATCTTGGTAATGGCATGCTCCCAAGAGACGGCTAGTGAGTTTTCCAGAGAGCAGGATTAAAAATTAAGAGTTTTCTATAAAAAAAAGAAAAACAGTTCTGTATTATTCACATTATACAGTTAGAAATTAGTACAAAGTCTACCTCACAATGGAAGGATAGTTTATTAATATTTATTAAGAAAATTATTTCAAAAGACCTGTCTGACAGCATGAAGTAGGCTAAATGATCTAAACATTGTTACTGCATCTTTCAGTCTTAAACGTGCCTTAAAGAAGCGCCATGCTACTTTTCAATTGCAGCAAACCTCAGAGAAATCTGTAATCCACAAGTAGAAAGGAAAACCCTCCTGTGACTATTATGGCATGCATTCTAAAATCACATGTGGACTTAGAAACAACAAAAGCAGCTAAACAAAAATTTTGACCCAAACCTACTTTCAGCTCACGGACAAACACGATCTATTTATCTAAAAAAAAAAAAAAAAAAAAAAAGAGAAAGAAATAGAATATATGACCACATTGTACCTCTTTTTTGTCCATGGGTGCATAAATAATTCCTTTCGTGTGAATACAATAAAAAAACAATTCTATGCATGTTAAGGTTTTGAATGAAATAAATATCTTTCTTATTAATTAAATGAAGAAGAGACAACACATCACAGGAATATATAATAAAGCGGTAAATTAAATCGGTTTCATTAAAACGCCACTCACAAGATGTAAGCGACGTTGACGTATGCTCAGTGGTGTCGCAACGAGATCATTGGCCGTATGCGAACTTCGTATGCCGTAAAAACATCAAATCTTGAGGTCCATGTGATGCCCGGACTGGACGGCGGCTTCTGTGTGTCTTAGTAGCAGCTCCCCGGTGGAACCTTCGTCTTTAACAGCGTCTTCCAGCAAACATGGAGGGAGCCGAAGAGTTCATGAAGTACCGCTCTCCGCTGGTGTCCAGATACGCGAGCAAGGAAATGGCCTATAACTTCAGCGACAAGAAGAAGTTCACGACCTGGAGGAAGCTGTGGATCTTCCTGGCCAAAGCTGAGAAGGTTTGTTTCTTGAAACCCACTCTGGTGAAGTTTGCGACCTTGAGGGAGACTTCTCAGGTGTCCTGGTCTAAATTTAGTGTCAAAGTGGGACCATGGCGCGTGCAGAAAGAGTGGAGGGTCTGTAGAGGTTTAAACTGTTCAACATTTATATAGAAATAGTAAAAAAAAAAAATTAACGGAATAACTTTTTAGAAGAAAGTTGACATCACTCCAGTGACTGTTAACTTTTTTGCTTATTTCTATTGACGTATAAAAGTTGCATTTTGGATTATTGCCTGATCAATAATCCACATGTTCCCACTTATTGGGTCATATTGATGAATAAGGAAACTGAAGAAACTTAAAGCAGCCTCTGGAAATTTTATTTTGATTAACTTTACTCCTAAAAAAAGAATAAAATAAATAAATAAAAATACTAGTATCAATCTGGTGTTTTATTTTTCTTCATAAAATGCTACTTAAGTCTAACTGTTGTCAGGTTAACTTAAGTCTGGGTTAAGCAGCAAAAAGACAACACAAAGCACACCAGCCATGTGACTTCTGGATGGTTTAGATCAAGGGTGATCCTGCAGATTTATTTCCCCAATAATGCACAGTAGATTAAACTTTTACTAAAGTTCAATCTTCTGAATCAGGTTCTTTAAAGAAGAGAAATATCTAAGATCTGCAGGCCTTCAAAGACCAACTTTGGACACCATTGATTTTTAGACAAATACAGTAAAAGATCTGAGATGCTGTGACATTAAGTCCTCCACTTTATATTGAATTCAGTATTCTTCAGTCTGAGAAGTTAACAATCAATTTTTAACTTTAAGCTTTTTAACAAATCATACTCCTGGTGTATTATGTTTTGCACAGATATGGGTGCATAAAAAAAAAACTCTTTCCAAATGTTCCAGATTCTATTTTATTTTACTATTATATTCCTCTGACATATAAAGATATGAATCTTTGTCCAGATGAAAATCTTCAGCATCAGCTTCATGCATGCTGGACACTGTTATACCCCATCCCTAGACATGGCATTAACAACAAACATGCACTACTGATTATTTTTCTATTAGCTAGTTATTAGTAAATCTATAAATAAAATTTAGAGATTTATTGTAAAAAGCAGAGCTTTTATGAAATACAAATTGTTCACAATTAATGTCAGTATATATCTATGCAAAGCTATGAGGAAAAAAACACATTAGATAACACAGAGTGTGACATCGGCTTATCTGTGGAGATCCTATAATTTCATCAGCTGCAAAGAGGAATGAAGTGAAGGTTAAATAGTGACAGACCCTTTCTCACATGTGCTGCCTCACATGACAGGCTCCATGTGGATTCACGTTCACTGTTTGGGGTTATCGCAGTGTTGCTATGGTAGCGGCTCTTTGAATATAGCTCAGTATATTCTTGTAATGAGAGATATCCCTTGAGGAGCTTGAGTTAAGAACCCTTGTTGGGTTGTTTTTTTAATGCAACCCCTCCGTCTGTGTTCTCAGTCAACGTATTTGCAGAACTGGGCTTTCTTCTGTCTGACCTTTGATCTGAGCTGGTTTTCGGTGGTTTGCTCAGGGGACTCAGTCCTCTCTGTTATCCCACAGTTATCAGATCCCCACTGACTCTCAGAGAACAGAAACATTCCCATCTAATCAAGATATTAGCAGATCTCATGATGTCTTCACATGTTTGTCCAAACTTTATCCCCGCGTCCACAACTCTTTTACTGGTTAACCAAATAATGCTTGAAACAGTTAAGTGCTGCTGTACGATGCTATCCATATGTCTTTAAATGGAGGAATGTAAATGTTGAACAAAGATTTTAGGCAAATATTTCCGTCGATTTCCATTAATGGTAAATTTCCAGGGTCTCTGGAGGTTTTATCAGGTTTAAGATTATCATCTTTTTTTTTAAATATATGCATGTATTTAAATGTATGCATATTAGAGCAAGAGTAACCCTTTATTTTATCCAATCCTTTTATTTTTCTGAGTTGCATTCAGAACTTTATCTTACAATTGTTTTCTTTATTTCCATGCATGAAAAAAAAAGTGAGTGAAGAATGTAAAAGCCATTTAATTAATGCTGTTCTGGTTCCGCTCTACTACTGTCATCAAAGTAGTTCGTATTTATTAGCAAACTATGCAGAAGTTATTGAGTATATTTTCTCCTCGTAACCAGTCTGTGTTTTATATGAAAGAGATTAGATACTCTACTGTCACCCAGCTTTGTAAATGATGCACTTTGCACTCAAATTCTAACATTTTTATTATCTTGCATGTAGTTTGGGCCCATAGAGTCACTGCTACAGAGCTGTCAGTTAGAAACGAGGATGAGATATACATATAATTCTCCTTCATTTGGCTCAGACTCAGAGAAAAGGACAAATCTATTTATAAAGGCTGAACATGCAGGTAGATTGTGTTGAAATAGCTTGTTGACGAGATTTACAAATATATCAGCTGTTTTATCTAATCAAGCATTTTATTAGGTCTTGAAATTTACGCTAACCCAGAACGTATGTTTGTACCTCAGTGGTTCTCCTGATGGAAACGCGTAATATATCAGGCACTGCAGATTTTGATGACACAACTTTAACCATATATGGCTGTTGGATAGTCGCTGGTTTGATTCCTGCTTCCCTGCGCCTCATATCGATGTACTCCTTAGGAAGACGCTAAAAAAAAGTTGCTAAAGCATTTAATCCATTTAACTCTGATTTTCTGTCATAGAGGCTTAGCTACAAAGTTTAAAAGAGCTTTAAAATGACTTATGCTGTATAGTTTTAACATCCTTTAGGACGTTATATAGATATCAGTATTAATTATGAGGGACATTAAAATTTAATTCAGTTAATTTATAGAGCGCACCTGTTAACACACATCATCTCAAGGCACTTTACAGTTCACCAGATGATACAGTCCGATTGATTCATAGTTATCCATCTAAGGAAAACCAGTTAATTGCATTGACTCATTGACTCAAATACAATCCCTCCCACTAAGCATGCTTGTAGCGACAGTGGAGAGGAAAAAACCCCTTTTAACAGGAAGAAACCTGCAGCACAACCAGGCTAAGTGTGAGCGGCCATCTGCTGGTCAATCTTCAGATGACCTCATCCTTCCTTTTGTTAAACGTTTTTGAACTAGAAAAGCACTTGCAGAGGGCAGACCTCTGCCAAGTAGCTAATTTCCCCCTCACCTTGGGTAAAAATATCATTAACATCCGTTTATGACTTTTCAAGTCATCTTGAACACAGACAGACAGACAAATTCTCCTAAAAACCTAAACAGCTATATAGATTGCTTTAGAGATGAAATCCTAATGGTGTTTGAACTCAGCAGTGTGGAGACTCTGTCCTGTCATTCCTCTCAGGCTTTGGGTCTACCGATCACCGACGCCCAGGTCCAGGAGATGGAGAGCCACGCCGAGGACATCGACTTCACCATGGCGGCAGAAGAGGAGCGGAAGCTCAGGCACGACGTCATGGCTCATGTCCATACCTTCGCTCACTGCTGCCCTACCGCCGCTGCCATCATTCATCTGGGAGCCACGTCCTGTTATGTCGGAGACAACACTGTAAATGTTTCCTCTAAACACTAGCTAATGGGTGTGGAAACCCCGCTGCCTGTTGGAATTATTTTTCCACCCCTTGTTTTATCTTCCTTCTCTTCCTCAGGATCTGATCATGCTGCGTGATGGCTTTGACATCCTTCTGCCTAAGGTGAGGCTCAGCTGTGGTCCAGAAAACAAGCGCACCGATCCAACTGTGCCTCTAAGCGCAGCCTCAGCTGTTTGCTAATGAACCAGCGAGCTGGAACAGTTTTCACACTAGATCAGAACTTTACACGACATAGCAGTGCGTTATATAATAACCGCTCTTCCTCCAGCTGGCCAGAGTCATCGACAGGCTGGCAAACTTCGCCGAGAAATACGCAGACCTGCCCACGCTCGGGTTCACACACTACCAGTGAGTCTGTCCACAGCTCCATCTTTTTATCTGATGATCGTCCTCTCTCACTTTCACCAACTAAGCCTGGGTTCTCCTAACTCGCCTCTCTGCACAGGCCCGCCCAGCTGACCACCGTGGGGAAGCGTGCGTGCCTCTGGCTGCAGGACTTGGCGATGGACATGCGGAACCTGCAGCGGGCCCGCGACGACCTTCGTTTCCGGGGGGTCAAGGGGACGACGGGGACCCAGGCCAGCTTCCTGCAGCTCTTTCAGGGCGACCATGACAAGGTAGGGAAGATGAATGAGAAGCTTAACATGAAAATGGGATGATGGAGATTTGAAGACGGTGATCTGCCTGTTTCTGCCGACAGGTGGAGGAGCTGGACAGGATGGTGACAGACATGGCTGGATTCAAAAAGTAAAATATTTATATGAAAAACACAAAATTCAGTCTTTTTTATCAGGAGTTAATATGACACATAGACTCCATAGTTGTGAAGTGGATAAAATCAGAATCCCTCGGAGTGGGGGGGCTGTAAACAAACAATGGTGCAAGGAGGGAACGAAGCTGATTGGCTTGTACACGTGTCCCACCTCTATCTATAGTAACAGAAAGATACAGCTTTAAATTAAAAAAAGGAAACACAGTGCACAGTATTTACATTTGATTAGCAAAAAAAGCAAATCAAACAGGGAGATCAAGAGCAAACATATCAGTAAAAAAATAAACAATATGGTTTTCAGAGTCATTGTCAAAAACAGTAAATGCTTAAATGTGTGCCATGAAATAACAAAATCTACCATGGAACATATAATCATTTAGTTGTCTCTAATACATCATTCTAGTATTAAATATACCATTAAATTGTAAAAATGCACATTTGAATGATTAAATGTCCCCAATGTATCATTTAAAATGATACATTGAATACTTGAATTCCATTAGAGAAAATAAATGTATTAAAAATGTAATATATTTTCTTTGTAGGAAACAATATATAGTAAAATAAAATATATTTTTTTGCCTTGTTATTTTTGGGGGTCACTGTCTTAATTGTTTTAATGCCCCCCTAAATTTGCTCTTGAACCACCACTGCTGTTTAATTGATCAGTGATGCTTTTCATTTCACTCTGGTTGGCTCTATTTACTAATTGGGTGACTTACGAAGGCGTCCACATGTACAGGAAGGCCGAACCCCAATAAATGCTATCCTCTTTAAATT